GAGCAGACTGAGCTGTATGATAGTTACATTAAAAATTTGTTACGTAACAATCATTATACATACCTCACTGACCAAGCAAACGGCATACGGTACTTCCCCAGCTTGCTACAGAACTGCTTGTTGGATTTTAACACCTTCTGTGCACACTAGATAAAGGAAAACTCCATTATAATGAATATAATCTTCTATTATTTTGTACTGTGGAAAGTAGGCTTATGGAAGGCTGAAGCAGAGATGGCTTATAGAAACTGGAAATGTGATTCAAAATACTTTTATGGGAAATTCTAACAAACTGGATCACAGCTATGGAGGCCTTCCAGAGAGGAAAGTTTTCTTATTAAGGAGTTATAGTGGTTCTTGGAACTTATGCTGTTCTAAGGATTTTCAGAGACTGTGACCAGGATAATTGGGGATGCAAGATCTGAGTACATCCTCTGAGCAACCTCTTCTAATAAGGCTTTAATGGAGCCAATGGACTTACCTGCCCTGTTGTAGAAGCCCTTGGGGAAATACCTTGTGATCTTCCTGAAAATGAATCCCTCTCATAGTACAGAGACTTTCTGTTTAATTTAACTAAATGATCTCAGAGCTGGGGTATTAAAGTTTAGACCAGCAGATGTCAATTTAGAGTCTACCCTGACTTATAAATTATGCAGCCCTTATGAAGACAATAGCATTCCACAGGATCCAAGTCAAGGGAGAGTTTGGCCCTTCAGGGTAGTCTTCAAAGTGGAACTGAATGGCATGCATACATCCAAGTAGCAGATCAATTTCGGACATTAACGTTGAACATAAAGGTTAGCAGAGAAAGGATTTGGGCTGATGCAGTTTGAAGAACACGCTGACAGACAAATATTTAAGTGGAGTGCTATGCTGAAGTACTTACAGTTACATTTCTGTTTCTTCAGATTCCTTGAAATGAAATTTTCTGAAACTTCCGAAGTAGCGGACCTCAAATCTGCTCCTTTATTCTATATAATGCCACTGACGCATTCATGTCTCAATTAATCTTCCTAAACCATGGATTGCTGAGAGAGCAATTCATACCAACGCCCACTTAGCCACATTTAGCAGGTTTGGGGATGTGTGGGCAGCACAGAGCTGCATTCAGGCAGCAGCACATACCCAGGGGTAGCAGTGTAGTTCCAAGGGCATGCAGCAGTGTGGGGGTGCATTCAAGAAGCAGCATGGGTCCCTGGGGCTACTGCTGATGGGCATGTCCATTAGGGCCTGGATACTATGAATTCTGCAGCAGGCCATGTCCCCCAACTTTCAGTAGCTTGCTGGACTACCAATAGGCCAGATGGAATGGTTCAGCCCATGGGCTGTATGTTTGAAACCCCTGGAGAAAAACCTATACGACTATGGATTCACATGAAATAATCACACAGCATTTCATTAGGAATATTTGTTTGAGAATTAGGCTTTGTTGCCAAGCACACTGAAAACTATACCAACTGTACTAAGCAAATATCTTCATAACATGTTTAATGGCTTCATTTTGTCATGCTTTAGATTACTGCTTTTGCCTTCACGAGAAATAAGCCTTAGATAAGCTTGTAAATTAAGCTCACCAATGAACTGGTAGGATTTACAAATATAGATTACAGTGTTTTGTACTGATGGGAAGATGTTTACACTATCACAGAGAAAAATAATATTTTCATTGTGTTACCTTATTAGAGTCTGGATTCTTAATGTAAGGCTCAGCACCGCTGGCAATACTTCCTGTGAGTATCTTTTCTATTTTTGCCACCAACACAATCTCTGAGTGGGGGTTACTTATAGAGAAGAGAGCCTATAAATAATTAGAGAGAGTACATAGTAAGCATATAAGACCACTATAAATGTTAGACACATAGCCAATGTTCCCTGTTGACATAAAATAAATTCCATTACAAAATGATAGATTGATTTTAGAGTTGAATCCAAGTGAGGTAGAGTGAGTCTCTATTGGTGGGTCTTTCACTTTCTTTCAGTCTCCTTTATGTGGACATTATATCAAGCTGGGCTCTCCAGAATTTCACTCCTGTAGGCCTACTTCACAGATAAGAGTAAAGCATATCCTGTAAGTGAAACACTTCTATAATTAGTCTTTTCACCCACAATTTGTCATTGGTTCAGTGAACATCGAATCATTGAATCATAGAAAATTAGGGTTGGAAGGACTTCAGGAGGTCATCTAGTCCAACCCCTGCTCAAAGCAGGA